AAGAAAAAGCATTGGGAAATTTGTTTTAAAATATTTTTTCTCAAAAAAAAAATTCCTTCTTGGTTCGTTTTAGCATAGGGTACACAATTCCCTAGCCTCATTTTCCAACATAGGGTCACCACTCCCTAGTTGATGCCAACATAACCTGATGCCAACATAGGGTCTCCATTCCTAGTTGATGCCAACATAGGGTCTCTACTCCCTAGTTGATGCCAACATAACCCGATGCTAACATAGGGTCACCACTCTGTAGTTGATGCCAACATAGGGTCTCCATTCCCTAGTTGATGCCAGGATAACCTGAGGCCAACATAGTGTCACCATCCTCTAGTTGATGATTTTCCAACAATAGGGTCTCCAATCCTTAGTTGATTTCATTTTAGACATAGAGTCTCCACTCCCTAATATCTTTTTCCCAAGGATGCACAATCCTGACTTTCATTGCTTTCAATAAAGAAGTAGTTTAGAATGTTGTTACAATAACTCACAAAATTTTCCTAGTGAAAGCTGGGGCAGAAAAATTTCGTTCGTTTTTTTGTTTTGGTGTCTGAGCAGGTTTTACCTCGAGGCACAGGGTTCGAGAAGACCAAAAAAATGAGTCTCAATCCAGAATAAAAGAAAAAAAAAGAAAAAGAAAAAGAAATGAGCTCAAAGTGCAGAAGCGGAGAAAAGATGTGGACTGTTCAAGACGAGATTGAAGTCACAAGCTTTGCATATCCCGCCTTGATCTGAATAGTTGAAAAAGGAAAGAACCAACACCTGCAACTAACAAGCATCAAGTTTAAGATCAGATTCCGCATGAAGAACCAAGCAAGACTCAAGATCAAGCTTCAGAAGACTCATAGATAGGAATCTTGTAATTCATAGTTGATAGGTTTCTTTAGTTCTTTTAGATTTTGATTTTGATGTAATAATGGGATCGCGGACTGAAACCTCGACGGAATGGAACCTCAATCGACTCTCCACCTCGGTAATCCATCGTTCTTTTCACTTCTAAACTACACATGACCTGACTCCTTTATAGCCAAGGATATGTAGGCGGCTCAGATACCAGGGCTCGGTCACATTCTCCTCTCTTTTAGTTTTGGTCTTTCTATATAAGGGTCAGGTCAAAAAACATGTCTCGTCGTTCTTTGTCTGAAAACTCTTCGTGTTTCCAGTCCAAGAGGGGCAGCTGTAGACATGTAATTGTTAACCCTCCCAAGATTTTACATATTTTAGCATTTAAATATTTAGTTTAGGTGTAATATCGCTATTTTAACTAATTTTGACTCGTTTACTTTATTTTATCACCAAAATAAAAATTACAAAAATATTTTCATCTTTAGTTTAAAGTCAATTAGTACATTTGTATTTATAGTATTTTAATTTCACCATGACTTTAGCGTATTCGTCCTACTTTTTACTTTATTATAACATTTGAAAATACAAAAATTAGTTCCATTTTCAGTATTTAGTTTTATATAAGCTTATTTTAATTAAGAGTGATTTTTACATTTTATAGATACATTGTATTATTTGGTCTTCTTAGCTTAAATTTAAACCCAAAAAGACAAGGTCCAACCCAATTTCCTAATTTCAAGACCATACCCATTCCCCATTTGACCTAACCTAATTTCTACTCCCTATAAAAGAAGACCTAAAAATCACAAGAGAGGGAGGAGAAAAAAAAACGCCAGCCCCTTCTTTGATTCCGATCAAAAAAGCAACTCTGCTTTTCCTCTTCAAATTGATGGAACTAGTAACAATCTTCTTCTCGCTCAAGTCTCCACTACTTTGTGCAAACATCATATACTTGTACGTAAACGCATTTTTTATTGTACATATTCCTGTATTAACCATTTGCATGTGAACATACAATCAATCAGAAATGGGTTTATGTCTCTCGCGGAATTCCACCGTGAAGAAGAGGCCAACCTTGGATTCGATAGACAACAAAAATCGGACCAAATTTTGTGTTCTTCTAACTTTTATCTTTCCTCACTGTGTGGAATCTGATACCAAAGCTCTTTAGCTGCTCATCCATAACAATATCTTCCCCTTCACTCACTTATTTTCCTACCGCAATATCAAGCAGATATTCAATCTGATATTGTTGGTGTGATCAAAGATAATCAAATAAACATGGAGGACTGGGTTTCTACTTCTGATATTTTATTTGGAATTCGATGGAATTTGACTGAGGTCGATTTGGGTTTCGAGCTCTCCGGTGTCAATTCGAGATTTGGTTTGTAATTTCGGTATTTCAGTCCAAGGATTGTTGCTTTGTTTATCCCGATTGATTTGCAATTTTCAACTTTATTCATCAATAAAGGTCTATTTCTCAATTTTCATTCTCATTTCATTATGTTATGATAGCTTGGTGCGCGTGTTGTTTGATTTGCGATTCTACGTTGTTTGAGTAGCATATCTTAGTTTTCATTTAAATTGTTTTAATTATTTTTTATTTCGATTGTGCTGTATGTAGTCTTGGTTCTTGAATAAATGCTTTTAATTGGGTAGATAGAAAAATTGGAGTTGTTTCTTTCTTGGCAAGGAATAAGAATAAGCCATGAGTGGTGCTAAGTCAGAAGAATGTATAATTCTTAAGCCTATCAATAATTCCAAACTTAAGAAAAATAATTAATGAACATCGTAGTTTGCTCTAGGTGCGTAAATAAATTAATTGTGGCTATAGGTACGGTTCCCGTGACATGGTCACGATACATAAATTCTAATTCGGGCGTGCATTTCATGTGACCCGACCACAACTTCGAACATTAATAAAAATAAACATGTCGTAAATCGCGGATGCATTTCATGTGGCACGGTTTGCAACGTGTACCAAAATAACAAGTGTACGACATCGTGACTTGTTCCCGAAATAATTCCATAAATAAAAATAAAAGCGGTAATAGAGTTAAAAATGCACAATAGATTTAAAGCATGTAATAAATCAGATAATTAGGCCAATTATTAATAGTTGAGCGACCGTGCTAAAATCACGGAACTCGGAAGTGCATTACACATTCTCCAGGGTTAACAGAATTTCCTATCCGGTCTTATGTGTTTTCAGACCATAAATAAGAGTCAAAACTTTCCTCGATTCAGGATTTTAAACCGGTGACTTGGGACACCATAAATTATCCCAAGTGGCGACCCTGAATCTGAATAAATAATCTCGTTTCAATCATTGTCACTTTAATTGAAAAAACTCCCTTATATCCATTTCGAGTAAAAAAGGAGGTGGTACAATAGTTATAAATAGCAGGCTCAGTAGTCATTGTAGCACGCTAAAATCCTTGGGAAAACATATGTTATATTTTATTTTTGCTCTCAATTAAATAAGTTTATTTGTTGTTTTACATTGCTTTCATTTTGTTCTCGGAGGCACTGCACTCGGAGCCAGACTTGTGATCTTATTCAATTTCAATTGCTAAGTCTTATTTTTTTAATAATCTTATTTCTTTATCATTTTTGATTAAATCAGTTCGCTTGTCTATAAACCACGTAACAAATTTAACTATACCGTTTTACGGGTAAACACATACATGCTATATAACAAATTATATAATTATTCAGGGTCGCAAAACGGGTAACCAGCGCGGGTGGAAAAAAACATAAAGCTGTTATGATAAATATCACATTATGGTGGATGTTACTCTTCTTCAATGATTTTCATCTCAAATGCTTAATGACATATTCAATGACATATTTTGTATGTTCAATGACATATGCCATGACATATTTTCTTCATTTTTTATGCCTATATAAAAGCCTTGTAATAGATAGGAAAATACACACAATTGAAGAAGAAAATCTCTTCCTTCTCTCTATCTCCATTTCTTGTTCATGTTTTACTAAATTGCTTTATTTTCTTATTCTATATTGTTACTTTTGAGTTATATTTCATAACAAAAGCATGATTAATCCTTTCATTATCAAGAGTGTTATTCGGAACTTTTGACTTTAGATTATACCTGTCCACTACGTACCTTGTTACTACAGCTAATTCAAAAGCAACTCTGATATGACACAGCCTTGCTTAGATTCATAGGATCTATTTATAGATCTACCCCAGGAAACAAAAATTATAAATCTGAATTAAAGGCCTTATATTCTAGTACTAATACTCTCACTTTGCAATGCTAGATTTTTGATAAATCTCGTTCTGTGTGATTTCATATAATAAACTTATTTTTGTGTAAATTAATAAAAAAGAAAAATTGTAGATATGCTAAAACTTCTTAATTGTTCCCTCAGAAGTGGGGCTAGAATAAAAATATTTCAGCTTTTAGTTTGTTATAGTATAATTTTGAAGCTAACAAATTCGTATGTTATATTCCCTCGTGATGTTTAAAGAAAATATTGCTAGAAGAGAGCCCAACATTTTTTTAAATTATGCATGAATTATAATTTAGGAAGAAATAGAGAAACATAAATAGCAGAAATTACAAAAACTTGTCATCTAAATTTGAGTTCTCGTTAAACTTAATTTTTCATTGTTGTGTTAAATCAAATAATTAAAGTTTGTTAAATATTTGGTGGAGAACACACATGCTAAGTTTATATTTAGCAGCTTTTTTAAACTCATCCCACAATATAAGTGATCATTATAATCATTCTTAATCACATATTTCGGATTAGTATTGAGTCGAGCGCTATATTTTTTAAGATGAGACTTCCGGACAGGATTTCAAATTTAATTTGGCCCCAATACAAGTACCGAATATAAAAAAAAAAGGCAGTCTAGTGCACTAAGTTCTCACTACGTGCGGGGTCCAAGCAAGGGCTGGAATACAATGGTTTATTATATGTAGTGTTATTGTGCATTTATGTAAGAGACTGTTTTCACGGCTCGAACACGTAATCTCCTTATAACATGACAGTAACTTTACCGGTTACAACAAGATTCCCTCCAAAAAAGGAAATGATTATTATTATTGTCAAGAAGAATGGTACAGATGGGGGAATACATTGGATTATACCAAGTGAAGACAAGATGATAAAACAGTGCAAATGCAAAGAGAGAGTGGCGGGGCCGCCAGTGATGTGAATAGTAAACCCCCTGTCTCCTCCGCCCGGGCCACCACCTCAATTACTCCCCTATTTTCCTTGTTTCTTCTTCTATTTCTCTCTCTCTTTCTCTCAACTTAAGAAACAGTCTCATCACTTCAAATTCTCACACATTCACTTATATTTCTTCTTCTCCGATCCTTTACGTCCCATCATCTCAGCAATATTCTTACTTTGAAACCCCTCAACTTGTTCTACTCTTGGAAAACCCAAAAAACTGGTCCAAAATAATTCTACAGTATCGTTTTCTTAGAACAATATATCTCCCTTACCTTTCCCAGATAGCTAGCGTTAGTCAAGATCAAAGCTAGCTTGATTTGATGACAATTGCAATTGAGTGAGACCACTTTTTGTCTTGCTGCTCTTGTTTCTCTCGAGTTAAGCCTTTCCTTTCCGCTTTGACTTGTCTTCCTTATCTTATTTAGCATATGATTATTTGGAGTGATTACTGCAATTATTTGGCTTGAGTTAGACAAGCAGAGAAGGATCTTATGTTATTGGTCACCGCCTATACTAGAACTAGTACAAGCACTTAATTTATTATTGTGCTGGGATTTTTCAATCATGACTTTTCGCTTAGCTAACTGTCAAACAAGGATGTAGAGCTTCCCTCTATTACAATGGATTCTCGCGATTAAGGATTGGATGCAAATCAACTCTTACTAACGTAATATATTGATTGTATTTTATGGATTCAACATCCAGGGTTGGAGCATCCAACCCGAACAATAATGGTGGTGGTGGAGGTGGAGGAGGAGAGGGTCCATCATCAGCAACTGCAAGTGGTCGGATCACTGAGAGTGAAGGTATTGAATTGTATGATTATTTCATTTAAAAATAAAAAATGTAAACGGCTAATTAGAAAATATATACTTTTATTTACTTAATAATTACATTTCAACAGGAGGATCTGCGGCTCCTGCAGCACCACCGAGCCGCTACGAGTCACAAAAGCGTCGAGACTGGAACACTTTCTTACAGTACCTAAGGAACCACAAGCCACCATTAACCCTAGCCCGCTGCAGTGGAGCTCACGTGATCGAGTTCCTAAAATACCTCGATCAGTTCGGGAAGACGAAGGTGCACGTGACCGGGTGCCCTTATTTCGGGCACCCGAATCCACCAGCACCATGTGCGTGTCCGTTGAAACAGGCTTGGGGTAGCCTTGATGCCCTAATTGGAAGGCTAAGAGCTGCTTATGAAGAAAATGGAGGAAAGCCTGAATCAAACCCTTTTGGTGCTAAAGCTGTTAGAATATATTTAAGGGAAGTTAGAGAAAGTCAAGCTAAAGCTAGAGGAATACCTTATGAAAAGAAGAAACGCAAACGGCCAAGTTCAAGTACGGTCACAGCTGGCAGCAGCGCTAGCAGCGGCGGTGTTATTGCAGTAGAAGGCGGTGGTAGTGGTGGAGGAGATGGTGGAGGTAATGCTGGTGATGGCAGTGGCGGCGGCGCTGCTATTGGTCCGCCACCTACTGCTACTAATCCAACAGAATAGTACAGATTATTTTCCAGGATTCCTTTTCATTAATTTTAATTTTACCTACTATAGTAACTTATTTTTCTTTTCTGGTTCAGTATAGTACGTAATTGTGAATTATGACAGTTGAGTTGCATCTATCAACGGTAAGAATTTCTCTATGCAAATTTCCTTAGGGATCATATGTAGAAACCAAAAAGGAGAGCAACATTCTTCCTTTCTATGTAAATGCTGTTGAGGGCACTAATGATGTTCCTTTCCTGGGATTTTAGTTAATCTTGCATTAGACAACATTGGAAGGAGAGTCTTAGATCAATGGTTAAGTTGTCCTTGTGTGACATATAGATCATGGGTTCAAACCGTAAAATTAGTCAATAATGTTTACCTTAGGATAGACCGTCTATAATACGTCCCCTTGGGCCGTGGCCTTTCTCCATATTCATCATGAGATACTTTGTGTACTGGACAAATTTTTTTTATATTAAGCATGTATTTTCCCCTATTTAATTTACACATAGATAAGTTAAGATCACGTAGTACAAAGTTGATAGTCATTGGATTGGACTCAGAATTTTGAAATGGAAAACTGTGGAGTAGCAGTTTATCTGGTCCCCCTTTGTTTTCGTATCAAGTCTATATAATCTCACGTGTGTCTTTTAAACTGCAGAATACAAATATACGTCAGACTATTGCAGTTTCAGGTGCCTTCTTTACCCTTCTCGTTTCCAAAGACTTTGTTCTCCTCTCTTTCTCCACTAGATTTAAGTTATACTGATAATTAATTTAATTATCATAAAAATTTATTAGTAATTACTGCATAAGCCATTATTATATAAGTTGTTAGGTCACGCCAGACATAATCGACGAGGGGGCTGGGTGGATCAGGTCGAAATCATGGTCGAACATGACGTGTGTTTAGTAGGCTTGGTTAAGAAATTAAGTTACGCCTTTTCTATTAGCTATAACTTTTGGCATAATAGTAAGCGTTTGATTATAACATAAGTATAGTACTTTTTACATCGTTAGTCCATATATAGAACTAACATCGGCGTATTATAACAGTCCTCCTCTTTAGGGGTCGTTTGATTTGAGTACGGTTTATGTCGGGATAAGTTATATTGGTGGTTTTGAGACGTTACTTCTAGCTCCAAACTAATATATTACTTTGTACTAGTTTCACGCAGTGTTGGCTTAGTGCCTACATACTTTATAATAAAAAAATTAATTACACATAAAATAAACTTTTTTTCATCTGACGATACTAATTGACACCATTATTATCGCAATGAGTTTAAATTATATGTACAAATTTGGAATGCAATTTTAGATTTCAAAAATTATTTGGATCCCAAAATTAAGATATATCTGAGGACACTAATATAATAACCTTGCCGGGGCAACAGATAATCAGAAAATATATAGTAAATAAAAAACAAATTCTGGAATATATTTTCTTCTGTTGATCTTGAAGTCTTCTGTGTAGAAGGTTTTATTGGATGAAATTAACAGAAATCATAAAAGATCATCATTGATATAAGGGCATCCTTAAATAATTAATTAAGCTGCAATATAATACCTTTTTTTAAATATAAAATAGGAGAAACCACTACCAATTCTTCAGTGCGAAAATGACCCCTAGCCAACTGATGCTTCCATTCCATTCATTATTTAATTGAAGTATTATTGCTGATATTCATTCAATTGGCTTTAAATTATCATATCTTTGTTAGAATATCATCAGACCATCAATCACACTACCAAACAAAACCCCTTCTTATTATATTACCCTACGACCTACGTATACAATGATTTTCTCATATTATAATTAGAATTATGCCGTATTATTTTATGTGTATATATCAGGGTGATGTAATCCAATGATCAGAAAAGAGGAAAGTTCAGAAAAATAGATTGTGAGAAAGAGAATCAGAATTATTTTTTTTACCATATAGTGGCACGGGCCAGGAGTGATAGCAATGAATATTGGTCAAATTTTCTCCTTATTCCTAATTTACGCACTCCCTCCGTTTACTTTTATTTGTCCACTATGGACTTTGCATACCCTTAAAAAATAATAAATAAAGTGCATAACTTATCATGATACCCATATTAGTTGATGTATATTTTTAATGAATTTAATAAAATAATTTAAAATATATAATTAATACTGTGGGTATGACAGGAAAAAGTAAATTGTCTTCTCTTGATATACGAAAAGTGACAAGTAAAAGTGGAAGATCTATTTTAAAAATACTTAGACAAGTAAACGTGAAAGGGGGGAGTATTTGTTAATCTATTCTCATCAACATAAATAAGTCAAGGATTTAGGCCTCATTTGTTTTTTTTTAAGATTAAGACGTCTGAATCTGAATACACATCTAAATATCAAGATGTGTATTCATTATCAAAAAAAAATCAAGATGTGTATTAAGATTAAGACATCTGGATCTGAATACACATCTGAATATATTAAGATGTATTAAAATGTGTATTAAGATCTGAATGCTAAAAATTAAAATTGTTTAATTTTTAACATCTGAATGTATAAAATTTATCTTTATTTGAAAAATAATAAATATAAAATTCAAATGAAATACTAACTAATCTAATATTTTATCAATAAAGTATATAGTTTTTTAAAATATGATAGTTGTTGGTGGTGATGGCTAACGGGTAAATACCGACTGGAGGCGGTGGTTGGTGGTAATTTTGGTTGATGATGGTGGTTCATGCTAGTAACTAGTAGTGATTGGTAGTGGTGGTGATTATGATTGAGGACGGTGGTGGTGGGTGGTGATAGTTAATAATGGCGGGTGGTGGTTTGTGATTGAGGAAGGTGGTGGTAGGTTATAATGATAGGCGGTGCCGGTTGTGGTTGTTGATGGTAATGGGGTGGTTAGTTGAGATAGTTGAGGTGGATAACTGTTGATTGTGGGTGAGAATGATAGTGGTCGGAGTGGTGGGGATGGTGGGTGATGATGGTCGATAATGGTGGCGGCTATGATTGAGGATGATGGTGGCGTAGTGGTGGTGGTGGCGGCGGCATGGTGGTAGTTGATAATGGTAGGTGGTGTCGGCAGTTAATAATGAATATGTGATAGCATATTAATGAAATTAAGTCTCAGTTATAGATCTTAATCATATAGACCTATTTAGACCCATTAAGTGGTTGTGAAGTAAAAAAAAACAAACACACTTAATGATTAAGATTCAGACTTCAAAAACAAACGCACTTAATGTCTGAGATCTGAATGATTAGACCTCCATTAAATGTAAACAAATGAGGTCTTAGCTAGTTCTAGCTCAACCTCCTCCCCTCCTTTTGTCACGACCCATCACGAGGTCGTCCCCATAGCTCTTCTACTGTTGAAGGCCAGCGTTGTCATGTGCATATGTTAAATTTAGCTTCTTGTACTACGCAATCGTTAACTTAATATAAGTTTCTTTTGGACCAAAAAAAGAATCTACATAAATAAGTATCAAAAAATAAAAATAGGTTAAATATTTGAGGGAACATTAATTTTTTAAAAAATTAGATGCATACATATAATATGAAGTTAGATTTTATAAAAACCTTATATAATAAGATGCCTGATCAGGAGTATTATAAAAGGGAAAGATATATAATGTGTAAAATAAGTGAAATAACATTACATTAAGATGAAAAAATGGAATAGCTAATTATTTGAGAAGAAACTTAGCAAAATTGAAACTACATTACTTTATAATTTAGAATGTAAGTGACACGGGACGGAGCAATGTTTCTTAAAGCCAAAAGTAGTTGAGCAAGTTATTGTTTTTGGTCCAAATATTTATTGAGCAAATATATGGTCTCCAAATTAAATACATGTATGCATATATAAGTACAGAGAGCATGGCCTATGAAGTACTATTAAAAATTGACAACACAACAGAAAACAGATGGAGCACATATGAAAGTTTAAAATTTGCAATATGTTCAAAATTGAAAAGAAGGAAAAAATTAAGTTGAGATTTGCTCCTGTTTGGCCATAATTTTTTTTCACTTTTTTTTATTTATAAAAAATTAAAAATTGAAAACATTGTTTAGATATAAAAAGTGATCCATTATGGGAAATTTTTGAAGATGAATTTTTCAAATTTTAAAAACTAATTTAAATTAGTTCTTAAATTTTTGAAGTTTTTTATTCACAAAACTTCAACTTCTTTTTAAATAAAATATGTGTCCAAACATAATTGAATTTTTAAAAACTAATTTTTAAACAAAAATTCTTTTCAAGTATAATCAAATCTATGTCCAAATATTGCTACTAAAACAAGAAAGCATAGTGCTGTTATGAAACAATGATGAAGATTATGCAAGTTTGTCAATTTTGTCATTTGTTTGTTTACATAATCAACAAAAGAGTAGAGTTTAAGATCCTACTGAGCAAGATATTACATTTCAAATTAAATTTGACATCAACTATTCTTTTTTAGTTTTAATCCCGTGTTCGGTTCCTGCTTTGGGACTGACTCAAATTTGAGCCATATAAACCTAAATTTGAGGGGTAAAGTTTCCCTACCAAAAATAACTTCATATTTAAATTCGAACTTGAAACTTCTAGTTAAATATGAAAGAATACTTACTGTTCTATCACAATCAACTACTTTGTTATCGCCTCTTAACACCATAAAACAATAGTTCTACAAAATATACATTCATTATGAACTTTTAATTTCTCCTAATGTGGAACGCATAAGCAAGATAATAAAATAAAATAGTGTATTGATCAGAGGGAGTGTCGTGTGACCATAATCTTCAAAAGCAAAGCTGTTCAAATTTCTCCTTAATTAATTATTGCATATGACTGCTAATTCTAGAAGAAAGCAACGTAACATAGCATACTACTACTAGGCTGCGGAAATATCTAGCTGCACCTAATTGTTGCACCAAATCAATAGACGTCAATTAATTGAAGATTTCTCATGATTTAAGGAATAAAAACAAGACGTACCCAAGAAGGAAAGAGGGCAAAATAGATGTAAATAATAGAGTATAGTGAGGGGTATTAGAGAAAATAATATACTCTATGTATTAGTTTTGGTATTATTAATTCTTTGTTTGATATATTTTTTAATTTATGCATAACTAATTAATATTTATATTAATCACCCAATTCAGTACTATTATTATACATAACAAGTCATGACATTAGCAATATCATGATTTTTAGAGGGCGTTTGAACATAAGAATTGTAAAATTTTGAGGAAAAAAAATTCAAGTGAAAATGGTATTTGAAATTAGAGTTGTGTTCGGACATGAATATAATT